TACTCCAGAACTTCCAAGCCGTTTGAGATTCATGCTTATGGATATCGTTGATCTGAGGAAGAAGCGATGGCAATCGAAGGAGGACAACAAGGGTCCTAAGACCTTGGAAGAGGTCCGAGCTGAGGTATGTATACTTCGGATGAAAGAAAGATTTTAGGTGATTAATGCTAATATGTTCTTAGGCTGAGGCGGCTGCTGTTCAGAAGGCTGCTGAGAACGCTCGTGGCCCACGCGGCGGTGGTGGTAGCGGACGAATGCCAATGGGCCGTGGTGATTCAAGAAATTATTCAAACCAATACGGCAACAACCAACCCCCTCCCGACTACCAAAAGAATACTGTTGGTATGGATGATCTCCGTCGTCTTACCAACAAGGGTGCAAGCAGGGCGGCAAGTCAACAAATGTCGTTCGGTCCCACGTCGATGTTTTCGTCTCGAAGTAACAGCGGCCGCAAGATGGGCCCCGGTGGTTCATTGAGCAGGACCGGCGAAGATTCCGGAGCTTCATCAAGAACAGGCACCCCCCCGCAACAAAAGGAAAAGGAATCAGCCACTTCCGCAAATGCATTCAGGTATGTTCTCTAAGAGTCCTTCACTTCGGTGATAGCAATCTAACTCTTCATAGCCTTCTTGCAGGATTAGGATCTGGTGACTCAGAGCACCCAGCCTCTCCACCATCAACATCGGTTTCTCCCGCTCTGTCGAAGGCAACTCCCGCAGAGAAGCCAGAAGACAAGAAAGAGAACGAGTCATGAGCATCCGATCACATACGCAAAAGTGTTTTCAGAAGCATCCTAATCTCTGTGCATAGACCGGCGGGCTAATCTTGCATTGCGGCGGGGCCTTTTCTAAAACGTGTCTTAAAAGTTTCTTCTTCGTTTACAATGATACCTCAAGCTTCGACCATAGACTACATTCGGCAGCCAGATTTCCTTTATTCTTTTCTTGCGCATATTTCGGATGGTGTGCGGGAGACAGGTTGCTTTTTCTGCGAAATTTCCTTTGGCTGGTGGGATTTGACCTACGCTTTCGGCATCGAGCCCGGCGCAGGCCAAGGACTAAAAGCTTTTGTGTCAATAATCTTTTCCTTTTCTTTGGGTCGTTGCCTGATATGCGAGGAAGTGCATGAATATGCGTTGCATTTGCGTTGTGCATTTGTCTACAATGCTGGACTCATCACCTCTTATAGGTGAAAAGTCTGGGATTGGCACCTACGATACTTTTCTCTGATGCTGGCTGGCGAGTTTTGTAATATTGAGACCGACGGGTGGCTGGGTGGGGATTCCGGGCCTGGGAATGCTGGAGTCTGACTTTCCATGCTGAAGCTGGTCGCCAACAGCGGATGTGTGTCGAAGAGGATCCAAAGGGGGAGGAGAGAAAACATTGTACAAATATTCTAATTCGTCAAGCAAGCCAGCCAGCTTCAGTAGTACAAACACATTCTAAAAAAATACATTGTGCCTTGGATACGATGTGACTCTGAAAGTGTGCTTACGGGGTGGATATTCTCCGCACTCTTCCTCGAGCAAATCGCCTTTTAAATCTAACAATCACTAGAGCGACGAGGTCAGAGGCTCAGAGCAGAGATCTGTAGAACAAGCATCTACGGGGGTTTATTTGCTTACCAACTTCCAAATCCCATTTCAAATCCAGGGAGAGGCGAGTCCTACCTCTCGACGAAAAACTGACTTTGCAACAGCGAAAATGCCGGTGAAGGTAGGCTAAAAGGCAAGACGATGACCGTTTTGGAGGTTCGGAGCAACACAAAAGAGTTTCTGAATCTTGGATGGGAGCAAGAATATCTTTGAGGGGCTGCTGAGACAAAACTGCTGGCTTTCATGCCAGATGCTTTACTCGTGCTCTGGTATTTCGGGATTCCCATTCATGGTGTTTGACTATTCCTCTCGAGATATCTTAATCCTGACGGCTGCATTTTCGAGCTGTTGTAATGACTTGCATGGAGAAAGTCACTTTTTCACCTAGGGTGGGAGAGAATGGGAAGTTGGAGAATGTTGTCAAAGTCATTGGGGCAATAGGCCTTAGTATGTCTCAAGGTACTCTCTTGGTATAGGATAATCCAAGTTATAGTTGATATTGTTACCTCGTCAAAGGCAAAATCCAACCACATGGCAAAACTGAAGGAAGAAGCTGCTGGAGCTTCACCACAGATATAAGGTCTCTGGAATCCGCGGCAGAGACCAGACCGGTGGGAGTGTGCTCCCGATCCTCTTTCCAGATCCCACATTTGGCTTTGGTTAGACACCTTCCAGACAGCCATGCTAGACGGAATTGCTGAGTGAAAATGAAGAACCAAGAGGGGAACCAACAGTCAAGATTTCTCTGTAGCAGTTCGTTGTCTTTCGCTGTTGGACCGCCCAAGCTTGGTGAAGTGCTCCACTGCCCTGTTAGAAGTATTCTGCCTTTACTTAAGTAATCAAGTTCCGCCATGGAGGAAAAGGTTATGGGAACTAACCAAGATGCCGCCCTTCCAATTGTTGAGCTTATAATTTTCTTGCTAAGAGGAAAATTCAATAATCGGGGGGAGGGGGGGGAAAGGGAAAGTTGCGTCGGGTTCAATGAGTGTGAATGAAGAATTGACAAGACGCATAATGAGCCATCGAAGTCAAGCGGACTCAAGTCAGGAGACCTACTGTAGACAAGGCAGGTGCAACTGTTTTGAGAGTGGGTCATGGATTATGAGCTGCATCACTTGAATTCATACCAAAAAGGGAGGAATTGAGGAGCGAAGTCAACTGAATCGAGTCTAGCTTCGACAATAAGCCCGCCCCCTCTCGCCAGAAGATTTGTGACCGCATTTCTTTTGCTCTTTTCTGTTCGATTGAAAACGACCAAAGAAACCAACACTCATTAGAGGAGGAGAGCTAGACGTTCTCTTGTATTCAATCGAGTCAACATCTTTGAGAGTGTCGATGTTTATAATCATGACAAGAATTAATTATTCTCTCGGTTCGTGTCTCATAAGGCAAAAACAAGCTTTCTCCGAAAGTTGTTTGGAAGATTGTCCGAAGAGCTTCGTTCAAACGGACGAATGACATTGGAGAGGTCCGAGCTCACCAAAACAACAAAGTCCATGAAATTAAAAGCTCGACGTCTTTCCTGCTCGGCAATAAGCAAATGAGTCTAAACATAACATATTTGGTGTTTGCAGCCATCGGTTCTTAAGGCCTCCATGGCTCACCTTGACTCTAGTGGCCGGTAAGCTCGTTTTGCGGTGATCTATCAGCTTACACAAAGGAGACCTACCTCCCTCCTCGACTTGGGCTCCATGTATAATTAACAATCTATAACAAGATGAGCTTCTTGCGGCAGACCTCCAGGTTGAATTTTCTACGGGCATCTCATCCGCCGCCAATCGCCCGATATCGCGTAAGAAATGCCCCAAAAGCAGAGCAACATTGAACTGACACTAGACAGCTCAAACTCGTCAAGAGTCCCGTACTCCAACACTTACGAAGACCCTTCAACACGAGCATTCCCCGGCATCGTTACTTCCAGCCAGGCGATCGAGAAGTCCCACGGAGAAAGGACCAGCGAACCCACCAAGAGGGCGATGAAGGGGGCGATTGGAAGCCTAAACCTCCTTCAAAATTTAAACAATTCTTCAACACACCTAATATAATCGTTGGAGGCCTGGTGGGAGCATGTATAGGCGTGTACGGATATGCCGCACTGGCCAGCAGTGCTGTCAGAACTCAAGCTTCGTCCGAAGCAACAGCAAGAATGCAGTGGTTGCATGACCATTTCATCCACTCGTTGAAGAATATGAAGGAGGGCCGATACTACACGCTTGTCACATCGGCGTTCATGCACCAAAGTGTTGTTCATCTCACAATGAACATGATCGGCCTCTGGGGGTTTGGACGATTTTTTGCTTCGGGTTTCGGTACTCCAGCGTTCTTGGTGCTCTACTTTGGGTCGGTGGTTGCTGGAGGCTTGACCCAGAACTATGTGTGGGAGAAGAGAGGTGAATGGAATGCGGGGGGTTTGGGAGCGTCCGGAGGAGTGTTGGGCGTATTCGCTGCTACCGCGTGTATTGTGCCTCGGGGTCAAATGGGTCTCTTGTTTATACCAATGCCAATGTGGCTGGGGGCTGCTTTGATGGCTGGGCTCAGTGTTGGTGGTCTACAAGGGCGCTGGCTGCCAACTCTTGGTCACGCAGATCATCTGGGTGGGATGGCTTTTGGGGCTTTATGGTGGTTGATTGCACTGAGAAGAGGTAGGTATTATCGGAGATAGGTCATCAGCCTGGATGGCTTGGGACTTTATGGTGGCTGGTTGCATTACACAGGGTCATATTTTCATTAGGGGAGATATGGCATCAGTCTGGAAGGGGTTTCTTTGAGAGTTTGAAACTCAGTATCAAGATTGGACTTAAAAACTTAGCAGAGTGAGTTGATTCACAGTCATGAGACTGAGAAGTTTTGTGAGTTTAGATCTTTTCCGTTTGTAGATTACAGTAGCTACACACCTCAGGTGAAAGACTCTGCCATTCGAGTCTTCCCTCAATCTCGCAGTGTACAGAAAAGGCTTCACTGAATTCTCAACCAACTCAAGTTGAATCTTTTCCGATATTCCAACAACGAATGTCCCCTCGATTCATGGTATACCCAAAGTCTTCTCCCTCCGAGTGTCTATCTAGTTCTGATTGATTTAAATCGTCTCATTACTATGTCCAACTTTGTTAAGGGCAATGAAGATGATTGCTGCTTCATCGCCCACAGCAAGCCCAACACCAAAATGCTGCCTCGCTTATTTTTACCGAATTAGTACGCGAGCTCGAGGAGGGGATGGAACCTTTAAAAAAAAATTGGCTGGAAATAATTGAAATAGGGCTTGGACAAAGGAATCCTATTACGATACTGTGAACCGTATGCCAAATTTGGTTCGGTGGCCTGAGCTTCCCGAAATTTTGCACTAGGTCCTAACTTTTGAGAAGAATTGCCAAAAAAAAATTTGTTATCAGTGAGTCGTGGGGAATTGAGCCCAACGCGGGGGTCGAACCCGCAGCCTTGAGATAGTTCTTACTATTGGAATGAATGTATAAGAGTCTCACGCTCTACCGATTGAGCTAGCCAGGCTGTTATGGATAGAAAACTCTTATTTTGTAATATAACGGTACTAAGCTGGTGGGGGGACAAATTTTCTCGCTTCGCTTGACTCATCTCTCTTCTCAGACTTGTCACACTCCACTTGGTCTGCAAAATTTTGCTTTCAAGGCCTGCTTCCCACGAAAACCTCTTAGCACGACTGATTCTATTCTTGATTCTTCCTCCATTGCATATCTTGATATGTACGAGATGTATATATATCTATAGATGTTGGTAAAACGCCATGCAATGCTTGCGCTCTGCTTCCCAAATCGATCTGTTCAAGGTCCACGATACCCTCCTTTCCTCTTTCCAAAACGCCATGCAAATGCAACGCTCCGGACCCAGAATATGCTTGTATAACATGCCGCTCTAAATAACAAAATAAATATATCATTACACCTTTCCCCATATTTACATGGCTGCGTAAAATAATCCAGCGCCGACAGCAGCGAGGGCCCCCAAGTGGACTGGTGCGGCCGTTCTTTGTGCTGCTGCTTTCGAGGTCGAAGTTCCCAACCCGCTAGCATAGTTGTTTGATCCTGTACCTGCTGATGCAGCTGCGGGATTTGCGACGGCGGTTGCATCAGGCACGGCTGATGAGCCTGAGGTGATCTCCACGACGTTTGTTGCTGTGGTATTGAACTTGGTTTGTGCCATGGAGATCTCATTGTTGGCAAGATCGTAGACAAGGTACGCACTTCGGATGAAGGTGTCTCCCAACACTGCGGTACCTGAGCCTGCTGGTGCAATACCGAAGAGACAGACCTTGGTGCCGTCGGCCTGGACGAGGGGTCTGCCATTGGCTGTGGTTGCTGGAATAACGAGCTCGTCCATGGCAACAGAAATGGTTGGAGACGAGAATGTGAAGTCAAGGGTACTGGTGTTCGAGGCCAGGGAGCATGGCACAAAAGCTGCACCATCTTGCGCGGAATATTGTGCGGAGACTTGCTCGTAGATTGCTTCCGTCATTGCGTCTGGGAGGTAGGTGAGGGAGCTGCCTGAGTCCAGGAGAACAGCTTGTGCTTGATTATTTGCGATGACCATGTTGCCCAGGGTGACCTCGGTAAGAGTGATCAAAAACTCCGCAAAAAAGCCAAACTCTTTCTGGATGGGAAGCGTTGCCAGCGTGCCTGTGTACTTCTCTGTATCAACTCCACCAAACAAAATGCTGCCGGTACTCGCATCGAGATCGTTGAGCCACAAACTGAAGGCGTTCGACTGGATGAACCCGTCTGCAAACAATTGAGCTGGGAGATTGTTGTACGCTGCCTTCCCCGCTCTCCCAACTTGAACCTCGTTGATTGGATATCCGATTCCCAAAATCCCGTCACTTGAGGAACTCGAATAACCGATCCCAAACTGCAACTTGTCCAACGTCGTTCCCCCAATAGTAAATGTGTCCGAGACATAGTCTCCAGATGCTCCTGATCCATCCACGTAGGAGATGTTGAAGTCGCTGGCGATGTATGAGTATGTCGAGGATGAGTTGGCAGTATACGTGCCTGTCGATGCACAAGGGCTGCCTCTTGATTTACATAACGCCGAGGTTGGTGTGTTCACCCAAAGATCACTACTCCCAGTGTCCAGATGTAACCGAAAACTTTGCGATGGAGTTCCTAATGTACCATTGGCAAAATATAATGTTTCCTGCCAGTTATCAGCACTCAACTGTCAGTCTGACCTTTCGGCACATACCTCATTCTGTAACGATGCTTGAACTGTTGTACTGGCTCTCCTCCGTAACCGATCTCTCAATATTGGATTTGGAACAAACTTTCTTTCAACAGGAAATCCTACTACCCTTGGTGCCGCATCCGTTCTTTTTTGTAAGTAGAGAGCGTCTGAGTGTGTTGATAATAGACTGGCCGCGAGGGCAAACGTCGATAAACCTTTCATGATAATATGAGTATCCTCCAAAGCAACCCTTCAAGTGTAACTGCAATCCCTTTCGTCAACAGGAGGCCCTTGATTTTATTTCCAGTTAAAGACCCGGATGACGAGGACAGCAGTCAGCTAAAGGGATCTAGCTCGGGTTCTAGTAGCCGATCGTCCCGACAAGCCGGCAACTAGAAAGCTGCCAAAAATACAATGCCAAAGAGGACTCCGTGGCGCACGTCTTTCAAGACGCAATGAATGACGCAGGTTGATCAAAGACCGGAAGGGACGGAGTGAGTAGATGTGTCAGCGAAGATTTCACCAGTTCTGGATTAGTTCGAGAGGAAACAGCCAAATCCGATTGCGTTGAGAACCAAATGATATCGACTTTGTAAGGCTGCAGACGCAATGTGAAAGTGGCGTTGGTGGGGAGTGAGGGATAGAAACGAGAAGGTTGATGAGGAAGGACGGAGGTTCGAGATGTGGCGGGATGTTGAAGAGCAACGAAAAGGAAACTAATTCAAATACAATTGCAGATGTCAAGAAAGATGAAATGGAACAAAGTGACTGAAGCCCAAGCTTTCGAGATGTAGATGTGGTACATGCTACGCGGGAGAAAGGGCTTTGTATGTCTTGGCTCGACATGGGCACTGAGCCCGCAAAGTGACGCGGCCTCGACAAATCACCAGTAGTGCTGCCCCGCCCACCCACCACCGCTCGCGCTTGCACTGGCGAAGGCGTGCAGGTGGGCTGTATTACGCACGCTATTCTGGTGTGTGCTTTGTTCCAGGAGCTTGGGGCGGTGCTATTTCCAAAGCATTGAAGACTTGAAGTCTTCGAAGCGAGCGGCCGTTGGTGGTGATCAGACCTGAGAAACGTTGGAGCATGAGGTCACGGCCTGCGCTAACAGGCTGAGGCGAGCTTTCGAAACGCGGATGCAGTCCATCCCCGTCTGAGTCTCTGATACCAAGTACAGGACGACAACGTCCACTGCGAGGGTGAAACGGTCTTTCTTCCGCGACGCTCCTCCAAGACACTCGCCATTGGACATCGTGAAGTTTCGCAACCCGGATTGACGCCCAGGAATCGGCTCGGACTTGGTGGGGGCTCAGACGGCGACGAGCCCAGAAATAAACACTCACACGTAAGCCCTGGCGGACGCCAAATCCGACCTCACTGTAAGAGTGCGTCAGCTGCAGTTCCTCTGAATGACATTCTCTCGCGGAGCTGCGAGCGCCGGAAAGTAACGAGGCCGTCGACCTCGGCGCAGCAGTGGACGGACGGCGGTGTGAGGTTGAAGACGAAGCATGATGCCTTCTGACCAGCCAAGTGAGCGAGGTTAGATCTTTAGGTGCCTATGCGGCTAGCCTGTTCCGGAAACCTTGCCGATTCAACCTCCCCTCGACGTTCGAACTGTGTCAGAGCTTTGTGTCGGCCAGCCTATGTAACTTCGCAGAGAGATGCGAGTGATCAAACATGGCAGTATTTCTTGAAGCGCCTTTCTCCCAAGTCCTGCTAAAATAGATGATTTAGACTATTTGCACCCGGTAGACTGGTAGTGGCCCAAGTAGGCCTTGAGCATTTCCTCACAATCCTAGAAGTCTTTCGATGCAGTCCGATATCGCGAACAAATCACCACTCTGTGCTTCTTCACATCTGCTTTGAATTCTAATTCGTGGTGGCTTAGAAGGTTGGGTGTAAAGTAGCCAGAGCAGTGCAGTGCGGATGAATGAAGAAGAGGGTTCTTGACTAGGGGATTCGTCTGAATATGAGTTTTCAGTATAGCTGGACTTCAGCCTGAGATGCTGGAACGAGAGTTCGTCTCCAGACTCCAGCCCTCCAGCAGAGAATTACAATGTTCCTCGCCGTTGGAACCCTTGAAATATGATGTGCATTGCCAAGAAACTGGAGCTTCCCGTCCTGTGCTTTCCAAAGTGCAATGGCGTGTGGTTACACAAAGCCCTCCATTATTGAATGGCCTCTTTCGATTTTAGAAGACTTCGTATGAGTTGAGTTTAGGTTGCACTTCCCAAAGTTCTTTAGCATCTTATTAGATGAAGTTGTGTATATCTTGCAACCCTTACTGTCTCTCAGCAACACGGTTGGCCAGTCTTAATTTGGAGGCATGGTCAGTACAGTCGCACGTATTCCAGGTGCTCTCTGAGATATTTTTGGGTGTATTTTGCAAACACTTATCTTTCATAGTTATTCTACCTGTCAGCGTAGGTTAGCAAGATCTCGTTTTTCCAGCAACATGGGTGGGATCATAATCATTGATACAGAGGCAGGACGCCCTAAGATCACTAATTGGCTGTGAACATATATGTTACAGGCATAATATTGACTTAAAGCCACTAAGTACGAGTGATCAAGTTGCAACAAGCATCAACATCACGTGATATATAAGCCACGTGATTACACATCCATCTGCAACTCCTCGAATCTGTTATGGATGTAGAAGCTGGTTCTCCCATAGAAAGACTGAGCGAAAGGCTGAGACATTCATCCTTCTCTCGATCAAGGTTCTGGTAGGATCTGGGCACTTTCAAGTCTACGCCCAATCATCACTCTCGGAAAACGGGTGCCTAAAGCCACAAATGTACATTGCTGTGAACACGAGCGACGCACCTCGCTGGGAATGCCTGACTCTCCCCAAGGCAGTAAGACGGTCGAATGACAGCGAAGGGCGAGAACAAGTGACCCGCTACCAAGGCACCGATTTTTGGTACCTTTCTGACTTCAACCTTGACCTGAATCTTCCTTTCTTTCAAAACCATCTTGAACACTCTCATACCAAAATCTTGTTTTTGCCATTGAAACTCTCCATCGCTGTGTTTCTTTCATTCATCGAGATAATCAGATAATCAAACCCGGGCCGAAAGCTCACCGAAACTTCCGGGATGGATTATATTTATCAAGGAAGATGGTATAGCAGCTCTCCCAACCACTCCCCCTCTCCTCGTACTAATCTCTGTTATTGTTGGTAGTCCCGTATACGCGGTTCGGACCCCTTCCTACTCTACAAATCAAATCCACAACCCCTGACAAACCAAACAGTCTTTTTTTGGAGCGATGGGATGTAGCATGGCGATGGTTCTCTCCAGCCTAGGAGC